AAGCCCCCTTTAAGTACTGACAGGCTGCAGTAAGGTCTCCCCGAAGCCTTCTCTTCTCCAGGCTGAACAACCCCAACTCTCTCAGCCTTTCTTCACAGCAGAGCTGTTCCATCCCTCTGATCATTTTTGTGGCCCTCCTCTGGACCCGCTCCAACAGGTCCATGTCTTTCTTCTACTTCTTGCACTTGTACTGTGCAGCATGGTGCTGCATGTGGCGTGTTGGATGGTCCATGTTGCAGCAAGGTGGTGCGTGGCGATGGGTGAGTAATGCCTGGAGGAGAGCTGGGGCTGCCCTGTGCAACGCCAGCCGGCCGAGGAGAGCCTTCGCTTGCCCAAGGAGTGCTCCCGGCTGTTCCAGACGCGGGGCATTTTGGCGAGGGGACAGGTGGGGACATTGAGGATGAGCAGCTGGAGTTGCTGCAGCCGGCGAGGGATGATCCACGTGGGGCTGCGACCGGCTTGGGGCACTGGAGAACCAAAGCGTGGCGACCGCTGGGGGAAATAATCCATCCTGCTCCCCAAAATAATCCGAGCCCAGTAGCTTTGGGGGGATCTTGCAGCACTGTCTTGTCAGCCTTGCTTACATGTCCTTCTTCTCTCTCCTCACCTTTTCATCCCCCTGCAGAAAACCCGTCAACATGACCAAAGCGACCATTAACTACCGCCACGAGAAGACACACATGATGAGTGCCATCGACAGGAGCTTCACCGACCAGAGCACGCTGCAGGAGGACGAGCGCCTGGGGCTCTCCTTCATGGACACCCACAACTATGGCAACCGAGGTAAGGACAGGGAACCGCAGCATCCCCCCCATTCCCATCCAGCTGCAACAAGGGTCCCTGATAATCTCTAAATCTCCCAGAAACAGCTGAAATATTTATTCAAGGCTCGGTAGCGAGTATTGCATCTATTTTAGCCAGATGCGTGTGGCACGTTGCAGGCTTTCCCATGCCCTGCAGGGAAACCTCCAAGGGCATCGATCTTACCAGTGTCTGTAGTAGCTTTTATTATCATCCAGATTTTGCCGAAGGAAAAACACTCGTGGGCGGCTCGAGCTGGGTCTCTGCATCTCAATCTCTGGAAGTGGAAATCTGAGCTTGTGGCTGGGTGAGGCCATTTGTGGGCTCAAACGCTGGCTGCAGCCCCCTGAAGCTGGGTGAACCCCAACTCTGCCTTACGCTGCGGTTGAAAGCTTTGCACCAGCCGTCACTCAGTACCCCCAGCGTGGCTTTGCTCCACGGTGTTCTGCGCTGCCCTGGGCTTCGAAGGGTTAAAGAGCCACCGCGTTTACATCAGAGGGAGACTGATAATTTAACACCCACTGGAGTATGCATCTCCGTGCTGATTTAGTTGTAAAATAACTCGTTGGATGCCCCAGTTTCAACCATATGCTAATAACATCTGTTACAGTAACTTCAAGATGCTGCTTACCCACAGCTCTTCTCCACCAGCTGCGGGATTAATATGCTTCCCGGCATTGTCTCGTGGATAATAGAAGCCCAGAGGGCAAACTTTTCCTCCTCTTAATACGTCTAGTTAGGTGTATTATTTTTTGGTTACTGTCCTCGAAACGCTCAAAGGCTGGTGGGTCTCCGAGTGGGCTGAGCTGGGGCTGCTGGTCCTCGGTTCCTTCTGGGAAGGAAGGGGGCCGGATCCTGCTCCCACCTGCTTGCTTGCTCTGCTGCTGGCTGCTCCTCATCCCTCCGCTTGGTAGAGGGTAGAGGAGGAGATGTGGGGAGCTTGGGCTCTCTGCCCCCGCTGGGGACAGCCTCTGCTGGGGAGCCTCTGCTGCAGCCCCCCCCTGCCTATAAGCATCGTTAATTAACGAAGGTAAATGAGCGGGCTGCTCTGTGACCCGCTGGGGGCTGTTCCCCACCGTGCCTCAGTTTCCTTGCATTTAAAAAAAGTCACTAATACTTCTCACGGAAACCCGAGTGGGTCCTCAGCGTGTGGCTGTGCAGAGCTGTCGGCACCTTGCAAACGCCTGCGATTAATTTCTCATTAAACCCAGCGGCCGGTGTGCCCGTCAGCCGTGCCACGGGGCGCAGCGTGGCCCTCCCGCGCTGTCCCGTTGGTTCAGCCACGCGTTGGCAGCCTGCAAGGGAGATGTTTCTGGTTGCAGAGTTTGGAGCATCGTCTCCTTGGGGCTGTGATGCCTGATGGAGACCCTGCTCTGTGCAAGTGCTGCACCCGTGTGGCACCCACACTGCACCCACGTTGCACGGGCAGCCGGGGGGTGCAGGCAGGGGGTGAGGGGCTGCTCCTTGCATTCGAGCAGACCGAAAAAACCAAGCCTGGGAGCTTTGCGAGCGAGCCAGCAAGGGCGGTTTTTAGACGTGTTGTTAGGGGAAACTTCATCCAGGATGCACCATCTTGCAAAGCTGCTTCCCAGCAGCATGTGGACGGTGTTCCAGGCCGGGTGCTGCAGGATCTGTGCCTACCGTATCTCTTGGCAGCAGCGGAGAACATCAGGTTTTGTGCAAACCGAGATTTCAGGATCCGGTGTGGGACCTTGCCCTAACAAATGCAGGCGAGGTCTTAGTCTGGCTCTGCTGCTAATTACACGGCAAAGGCATAAACCAGGTAAATACTGCATAAACTCCCCCATTAAACAGCAGCGAGCTCCATTTGTGTCAGTGCTAGGAATAAGGTGCCGGTATCTAGCAGCGACGAAAATTAACTGTTAAGCTGGGCTGGAGACTTCGGCAACGTGATTTTTCAAGTCAGGACTCTCTGTGAGTATTCGGGCACGTAGCTCTTACTCTTCTGGATGGGAGTTAATTGCTCCAATCGATGGGAAATAAGCTTATTAACCCCCTTAAGGTCTTGCCCAATGATTTCTAAGAGATCTGCTGTGGTCATAAAAGGCTGTAATGTGTGGTGTAGGAAGAGCTGCAGAGAGCACAGGGCGGGTCTGGACCACTTGTGGCCCCCAGAGAGAGACCGGCTGCAGCACCAGCATCTCCTGGGAATGTTTCCAGGTGCCCTCTTGTCCCTCCTCTGTGGGTGCGAGTAGGTCATGGGGATGCGGTCCCAGGCTTTTCTCCCCTGATGGCCCCCGGTTCTCCCTCCCCTTCTGCAGGCGACCAGCGCAGCAGCGTGGTCAATGAGTCCAGCAGCTTGCTGGGGGGCTCCCCCCGCCGCCAGCGCGGCCGCAAAGGGTCCCCGTATCACACCGGGCAGCTCCATCCTGCCGTGCGGGTGGCGGATCTCCTCCAGCATATCAACCAGATGAAGACGGCAGAAGGCTACGGCTTCAAGCAGGAGTATGAGGTGAGAGCATCTTGTGCTGGCGTCTCGGGGAGGGTGGGAGGGTAGGATGGCCAAGGTGGCACAGGCAGGACCTGTGTGCAAGGAGAAGGTGCTCCAGACCTGGAGCTGCAGTGCTCTGGACAGCAGGAGGCGGAGCTCACAGCTCTCTGAACAGGCATCATCGGCACGTGGGGTGTCCCTGGGTCTGGATCAAATCTCTGGTCCTGGCAGCTCAGGATTTAATTGTCGGCTTGAACAGGTCCCTGAGATGAGCCAAATCAGCTCTGCCAGCCAGCCTGCACCTCTCCTGTCTGCAGTGCGTCATCCCGCCTCTCCTGCAAGGGCTGGGGATGCTTCTCCCTTTCTCAGGTCTTCCTGGGCACCGTGATGTCATGTTCTCCTGCTCTCCAACGCACTTGTCCTGTGATAAGCATGGCCGTAGCCTGAGGAGAAGCAAATCCTCTACAAACTGGCAGCTTCCAAGACCGTGAAGACCCCAGGGACAGGACACGAGAGAGGGTGATCCCAGAGGGAGGGAAGTCCTTCCCAAGGGTCATTGGCCGCATCGTGCCCATCCCAGCTCGCTGGGCTGCAGCGCTTGTAATGGAGTGCATTATTCTGTGCGCCTCTGCTGCAGCGTGCCCAGTGGGGTTGATTTCCCAACTCCTCGGTGTCCCACAGGTCTGGCGATTGAAATTTCCCAGTGAAATTACTGTTTAATGCTTAGTTGTTTCAAGTGCAGGAGGTTTTTTTCCCCCCCCTTTTCATGTATTGGACAAACCAGGGCTTGCTATAATCATTAGTACTCCTTGAAAAGCTGCTGTATGTTCTTGGAACTAGTCATTTGAAAGCACTCAGATATTATGGGAGGGGAGAAAACATGTAATTTCCTTCCACTTTCCTCCTCTTATGCCAATCTATGAATGTTACTGTTATTACACACAAACCTATTTTGTGCTGGGGAGGTTTAGGAAAAAAACATAACCAATCCTAGAAAAAAAAACAGGCAGTATATAATTCGCTGGAAAATGGGGCATTTTGTGGATGCAACATAAGCGTGTAGCTGGCAGAGCGTGCTATGGAGATGGAGCTGGGGCTGCGGGACCTGGCTGCTGGGGTGGAGGGACCACCCTGTCTGCCCTGCTTCCCGGGAAGGTTGTGGGGCTGGGGGGGAACCCCACAGTCCTGCCCTCGGGTCGTGACAGCCATCCCTTCCTTACAGAGTTTTTTTGAAGGCTGGGATGCTTCAAAGAAGAAAGACAAGACCAAAGGGAGACAGGATCACGTGTCGACATGTGAGTCCCTTTAGCAAAGGCTTAAACACCCTGAACAGCTTGAAAAACCTTTAAAGGGCTTTGGGGGCTTTTTTTGGTAGACGTGCGGTCCGTGGCAAGGAATAAACTGGTGGGGTTTGGTTGGTCAAGGGCAGCAGAAAGGTCCTTGCTCAGTGCAGGGTTCCCAGCCTGAGAGCTCCTGTTGGGCCGGCGCAAATAGGAGGGCTGGAGCTGGGCTGGAGCTGGATAACTCTTGAGGATGGGACATCTTGGGGTGATGATAACATCACCATGGTATTCTGGGTGGTGCTGGAAGGCCCCAGGTAACCGGGGGTGTGTTTTCTTGTATGGACTTACGAGAAACTGCAGCCTTGCCCCAGGGAGCTTCTGGTGTGGATGTGCAGGGTGAGACAAAGAGGTTAAAGGATGAGTTTTTAGGACAGGAGATAAGGGAAGGGCTTGACCCCATAGGAGAGAGGATGCTCGTCACCAGTTCCCTCCACAGTCAGCGTGGCATGGCCACCTTGCTCCATGCTGCATCTCTGGTGACATTCCTGCAGGGATGGAGGCACCAAGCCTGGCCCTCCAGGAACTCTGGTGCTCTCCACCTCCCACATGCTTTGCTCCGCAGCTTCATCCCTTCCACTCCAGCATTGTCCGGGGCCCCAGGTGAACACCGAAGGCTGGGCAGAGCTCTCCGCTCACCTGTCTGGGCTTTGGCCATCCTGGTGCCCTGCTGGGGTGGAAGGCAAGGTGCTGGAGGGTGTGTGTCCTCTGTCTTTGGCAAGACTGGGCAGAGCTCAGGGAGATACCGTGCTGAAAACCGCTCCCCCATGTCCCTGCTGGTCTAAGCCACCGTCTTTGGAAAGACCTCCACCAGCTTGTATTTATTACTCCTGAATACAACCCACCTGCCTGCGTTTTGCAGATTCCCGGTGCAAAACAATTGCAAAGGGTGCCCTGGGACCCGGTGGGGTGACGCGCCGTCCCTGTGCTCATCCCCCCGGGTGCTGATGGTCCCTTCTCCCCTTGCTCTCCAGACGACCGTCACCGAGTGAAGCTGCACCCGCTGCTGGGCGATCCCAACTCAGACTACATCAATGCCAACTACATCGATGTAAGTGGGGACGGTGCCTCTCTCCGTGTGGGGTCTGGGCTGGGACCGGAGCTTCCTGTGGACCCCGTGGACTGTCAGGGTCTGTCCAGCAGCGTTTGGAGGAGCTTAGACAGCCCTGGATGGGCTGATCTGTGCATCCCTGAGACACGTCATGAAGAACCTGCCCGATTTATTTATGTTCATCAGCAATTTCTGCTTGCTGTGTCTCTCCCTTCTCTGCTCCGCTCTATCCCTCCTTTTTCATTCCCTCTCTCCTCCCCTTTTCCATCCTCTCTTCGCCCCTCGCCTGCTCTCGTGGCCATGGATCTCCCTCCTCCCTGGGCGGAGGATGAAGAGGTTTAGTGGGCCAAGGGACCAGCTGGGGGCTCACACTGGGATACCCCCCTGTGGTGGCTTGACCCTGGCTGGATGCCG